TGCTGAATTCTCTTCCAAATGCTGCTTCTCTCAACCAGCATTGCTGCAGGCTGGATGCTGTCCTGCACCCCAAATGCCATCGTGACAGGCAGCTTGAAGAGAGCTGCTCTGTGTGTGGGTCCATGTTTGACTCCAGGAGACATCCCTTACCTCTTTTTCTAGATCCTCTTGGTACAAGCACTTACAGAGATTCCTTTGTTTTTCTGGTTACAGATGTGGAAATTGAATCTTACCCATCCCTGAGGACCAGCCAGGGAACCAGGGATCCACAGAACCATGGCTGGACCACACCGTGCCCAGCAGGAACCCCAGCTCAACAAAACCAACATTAAAGCCTCCACGTAGCCAACTGGCCCTAAAATCAAAGACTGCCTGAAGACCTGGGAGCTGCTGGGGGCAGTTCCCATTCTGAGCAGGCTGCTCTTCACCCCCTGTGCCCTGTGGTGCCTGCAGACCCAGCTCTGGGACTTGGGGCAGCTCCTTCTGCTCCCTCCTCACCCCCACCCCAGGTTCCTGCCCTGCCAACATCCCCACCTGGAGGTGCCACCTTCATTTTCTGGCCACCCTGCTGTGCCCACAGGTGAGTGGAGCAGGGAACTGCTTTTCAGGCAGTGAGGCAGGGAGAGAGGAAGGACAAGGAGGGGGAGCAGGAAAGCAATTAGCAGAGAGCTGGGGGGCTGGGCAGGGAAGAGGCCACTTCTTTTACAAAGACCTTTCCGAGGGAAATGGGTTTTGTTGGTTGCATTTTCTGGAGTACTGAGCAAATGAAAGGCAGGATTCACAAGGTATTCTTGCAGCTATTCTCCCCTAGCACAGGCTGAGCAATCAATGCTTTCACAGCTGACAAAAGATGTCTACAGTCCAGGAAATCTTGAGGCTATCACTGGAATGATGCCCCTGGTGCAGCTGGGTGGTGCTGCTGCTGGGCAACGTGAGGCCAGGGCTACTGGTACAGGATGGCATCATTCTGCCCACCTGCCACAGGGATGATGCTGCTCACATGTCAGGGCTCATGTGGCACCCCTGGAGCCCAAGCAGCATTCCCACCAAGTGCCACGTGAGGAAGGCTCAGCCCTACTTGTCCATGGCCTTAAAAAATGAGTTCTTACCAATGACTTCCCTTCCACTTCCCTGTTCCCAGGGTTAAAACTCCACCACAGCCTTTGCAGCTGAAGCAACAAACACCTCCCCTCGTGCTGGTGCCATTTGAAAGGAAAGATGTTCTGCCCAGAAGCAACAGCTTTTACACATGTTGGAGTGAGCAGCAAATCTCCAGAACCCTCCTGAGGTTGTTGGGGCAGAGCCCAGGGGGTGTGATGTGGCTGCATCAATAACCCACTGCAGAGGAGGGGAGGGGAAGGGGAGTGTGAGGGGCAGAGGGTGAGTGAGAAGCAGTTCCCAGCTGTGCTGGCCAGAAGCAGTGTCAGCAACCAGAGAGCAAGTGCCTGGCACGGGCCTGCACCACAGCCCTTGGAAAAGGGTTAGGTTGGGAATGGAAAGCCCTGGGACCAGTTCCTGGCAGGGATGAGACCTGGAGGCTCCTACTGGTGCTCCCGGCGATACCGGAGTTGAGGTACAAACAGGTCAGCGTGGGAAAGGGCTCCAAGGTGAGAGCAAAGCAGGCTCTGGAATCCCAGCACTGACAGGAACACCACTGGGAAACAGGGACAATAGAAACAGGGAAATGTTCAGTACATCCAAGTGTCAAAGAATGACACTTCCTTCACAGGGGGCTTTTGGTTGCTCCATTATTGGGGATGAAACAGCATTTTATGCTTATGAAGAGGGTGTGTGAGTGTGACTGTGACTGTGTGAGTGTGTGTCTGTGAGTGTGTGAGTGTGTGTGAGTGTGTGTGTGTGAGTGAGTGTGTGTGTGAGTGTGTGAGTGAGTGAGTGTGTGTGTGAGTGTGTGTGTGTCCTTCCCAGAGTCGTGGCACTGAGGGGGAACAGGTTTT